ATATTTAAAATTCCCAATGTAGCCCTCCAAAAATATTAATAGGTGACCCCTGCTATAAACGATTTAACGTAAGACAATAACTACAATATCATGATCGTTTACCTAAAAATAAAGTCGTTTGTACCTATATTTTTTTTAGTGAAAAAGCTTGTGTTTTGCAAGAACTTGCTTTAAACTGGCCGTATATGGAACAGGGTTTTTAAGAGGTGCGCGGAAGTCAATTTTCGACACGTTCGGGCTAAAGCGTTTACAATGAAAAAAATAACATGGAAACAATATTGCTGTCGCAGTATACATAAGACATATAGGTATACTGCCAGGGGGCGTGGAACGATTGATATAACATGCACGTTATTTGTCGTGAAAAATGTCGATTATCGGTAAAAAATAAAATGTTCAAAGGACGAGATGAAAAAAAAAATATCCCTCGTCAACGCACTGAACATAATAGTATAATACATATACTATATTCTTCAAATTGTTCCTAGTCCCGAATAAGGTCACGGAACAATATTATTTTAATTACCTACCTATTACGTTTTTAAACATTATAAAATATATTTCATCAATACGCATAATATGCAGTAGGATAAAAAAAATAATAAAGTGCAATTAGAGTTAAATTAGGGTTTTATATTATCAAGTTATGGATTTGGCATCAAAACTAAAACGATATTATTGAAGATAATGAGTCTAAAAAATAGACTCGCGACAGTGATGTACCTAAATTGCTTATGCAGGGATCCACGTTATCGTTATAATAATATAATATTATTATTTAAATTTTAAATATTAGACAAATAAATAATACACACCTCATAATATGTTCCTCACTCAGAACACGAAAATAAGACGCTAAGGTGGGTTATCGGTTATGCAATATGATACTTATAAGTTATATCAATCTGTGAATCAATAGATTATAATTTTTTCTTTATTGTTTTATTTTATTAAAGTCACAACTATTCAGATTATATGTATTTAATAATTATATTTCATACAGTTTTGCGTGGTATAATTTAATATTATACTATGTATTAATAATACTTTCACACGCGTTTTGAAATATTATAGTACAAAGTGTAGGTAAATGAAACATACATTTTTTTAAACTTATTTTTCTCAATAATTAATAAGTTGCGTAAAAATATGTACACGAAATAATAAATATCAGTAAGTACGTATAGGTACCGATAGTACTTCATATTGATCGAGTGATTTTAACTTGGCAAATTTCTCGATCATCGAAATTGCTAGGTTGTCTCCCTCGACGACAAATATAACGAGTAATATAACTCTACCATAAGTACAAATACAGTGGGTGGGTAGAGCCCCCTCCCCTGAACTGTAGTATAGACCACACTGGCAAAAAAAAAATTTAATTTTACACATTTACAACATTTTTTTTAGGGGTTATGTAGTACCAGAAAAGCCTCATAAGAGTCCGGTGCAAACCTGAGCTTCAGACACCCTCCCCCACAAATAGCAAACACTATTTTTCCCGTAAACGTGACATTATATTATATAGGCTATTACACGGGTATGGGGTACATAATATATGAAATGAATAATGATAGTAATATATTGCGTACTCACGTGGACTTGTCCGAAAGTCAGCAGAATGGCAACCGACAGCGTCATGACCGTAGTGGTACTGTGACCGCAGCATCCTCCGCTGTTCAGCAATAATGACATGGTGACGATGGTGAAGTGTTGCGTTTACAATATCGTCGTATTGCGGGTCTTTTGGTTTTATACTCGTTGTCGGAAACCGTCATCGCGCACGTCGCGTGGACAACAATAACAATTGTAATTAATGTTATTGTGCTGTACCGGTGATTGATATGAAAACAAATTGAAAAAATATTTCGATTCCGGTCCGGACCTACAACGCATATAGAACGGGCAATGGCTGAAACCGTCGCCGAATGCGCGTTCGCAATATTTCTTCCGGTCGGAAGTGAGTAGTAGTCGTCGTGTAGTCGGCGGCGGGTGACCAACACGCACGTGGTGTATATATAATATTATGGTATATACGTACCTATAATAATATAATAATAATATGCTGATGTAAGTACAATGGGAATATGGGATATTCATACGAAATGCGTATTGCGTGTACATATGGTGTCTCGCCGCTTTCGTCTTGATCAACATTTTTTACGACTAATTAATAATACATTTTTTACATATTATATGCGATGTGAGTAGGCACGTACGAGCGAGGACAAATAAGTCACGAACATGCCATATGTACATTGTCATAGTTTTTGTACCCATGACTGCTGCAGTTATTATTGCAAGGACTTTAAGCTTGTTACAGACTTGAGACTTCCAAGTTCCATGGGGGGTGAAGACAAGTATCATACAAACCGTAACGGACAAAGAAAAATGGTAATCACAACGCGATTTGAAGCTACTCAACACATTGAATAATATTTTTTTGCACAGTATTATAACCAAATTTATTGTTTTGATTTAAATTGCTAGAAAAAAAGTGTCTTAAAAATTAAAATAAATAATAATGTTGCACCTAATTTAAAAAAATTAAAATTTTAGTAAATTGGTAGTACTTACTACCTATCTAAAATAAGTTCTGACCTGATATCCATTGAAACGTTGACAGATACTCTTCCAACCCAAAAATTCACATGCTTCCGAGTTCCGCACGATTCGCAATAAGATTACAAAATTCGAAGCTCATCGCGACAACTACAGGTTACAGGATCAGTTTTGGACGACCAGCATACCCAATGATGGATAGTTACTAACTAAACATACTGAGTCACCACTCACCAGTATTATTACCGCTGAAAAAGCAGTTGACGATAGCATGGGATAGGACATTTTCCATTGGTGATGATCACTGATCATCAATAAAATCAAGATAGAAAGATAAATCAGCGTTTCGATTGATCGCTATTTTTAAAATGCCATAAATATATCACGTTTTACAATATAGTCCATTTGTTTTAAATTAAATGTAGGTATGGATTTGTTATAAAATAAAAGATTATGGTATTATAATATGGGCTATTGCTCGCAAATCGTCAACATTTATAACGAAATACTTTTTTTACGAAAGTTTTTATTTTTATCACCTAAACGAATTCAATGCCATACAATATAGATTAAACAATTGAAGTGTTTGATTAGACGAATTGTAAAAAAATAGTTAAAGAACGCTGCAAAGGTGTATTAAAAGTTTATTTTTCAGAAAGTTATTGACCTAAATGACGTTTCGAAAAATTAGAAGGGGGTACGATAAAATTATCCTTAAAAAATAATAGGTAACCTCTCTATATACTATATTGTTCACTATTACCTATTACAGATAATAACATAAAACGATGGGGTATGTGTATAATATATCTGTAAAGGGGCTTCATACTACACCGTGTAGTGTGAACCCCCCTAAATAGTCATAAATATATTTTAATATGTTATTAAAACTGGTTTATACCACGCTGCGATATATGGCACCTATATTTACTGTATATAATTATCATAATGACAACACAACGATACAATTACACGTGACTTAAGCAGAATATAAAATAATAACAGCAGTACTTATTTGTTTATTGCATTTTTTTTTTGGTTTTGAATTAATTTATGATGAACACTATTTATTTATCCTCATAAAAACTGACTGCCGTTGTCTCTCGCTATCTCATCTCTCACCATCTATGTTTAGCTACGATATAAATACATTATACACAGCAAATCCGTTATGTAAACGGTCGACGACTTCGGATTCCAGGAACGTACGATTCGTGTTGGAAACCACGACGAAAACGACAGAGTAAAAAACCAAATAGCCGGAAACGTAGACGCGCTCGGCGAGTCGCTAGCAAACAAACAGCGCGATCGAACGGTGGCGTCCGTCGTCTCACGAATTCATCTTCAATCGCGCACCGATGCAAAACGTTCTGACGCAACTCACCGTGACTATACGGTATTGCCGGTGTTTACAACCTATATCTACCAGTATTTATAATTTAACGCCTACTGCCGTAGATAGATGACGCGTTCGCACGATCCGTTTTTAATCAATTTCCGCGTTGTCAGTCTCATTGAACGAATGGAATACGTAACCACGATATACGTGGGTTAGGTCAGCTGGTCACGTCGCCTGGTATCACAGTGACTGTAGTTGTAGTCTGTAACGCACAAGTGCATTATACAATTTTAAATTTAAGGATCCCAGTGCCAGTTTTTCAAATTTTCCACAATTCTATAAAATTTGAAAATTAAATTTTATATTTTAGTTGCCACCTCAATTATAAGACTTTTCCACTAATCTACTACCCGATACCTATTTAGGGGGGGGGGGTCGATAGGGTGTATTATATCGAAAAAAAATGACTTTACGGGAATAACTCTCAAGCTTATTTTATCAAGACTATTTTTTTATCTGAAAGAAGAAGACTTACTACAGCCCTCATTGATCTCTGATTTTGTATTTTTTTTTTCCAATAGTTGTATTAAAAAATGCTTTTTATCTTGTATTTTTTTAGACATATCATACAGTTATTGAGAATAAATTATTGAAAAACAGAGATCGATGTGGGCTATAGAATATTTCTCAATAGCAATTAAAAAAACAATTGTGAAATTTGGTTGATTCTACAAGGCGGTATCGTTATTTCCGCAGAGTGTTTCTTGAGGACAAAATGGCATCGACACCGGGTGCCTTAACACCTAAGTAAATATTTTTCTAATATCATTATGTAGGTATATAATGTGTATTCCTTCTTTTTATACCTAATACACATATATATATTATACTATATTACTATGTATACACGCGTTTAAAAACGAACCGTTTATTGATAGGCACATATTACAACAACAAACTAAGTCTATAATATTATATACATAGTTGGTATTTTACTCACTATGTTACTTACGATATTAATTTATAAACAAGTTATGAACAATTATATTATTATTATATTATGCTATAATAATCACATCACGTTGTTATACAACTGCTATCACACTTCGAGAGCTTCGGCCTTTTGCGCGCGATACCCAAGCTCCGGATGCGAACTATAGTTGTACACTTGCATTTTTCCGTCGTTGTCCAGATATCCGTAATGGCCGTGGACGTTTCCTCCGTTGTCCCTTTCCTCGTACCTGAACTGTCTGTTGGCCCTATTCAAAGACGTCATAATTATAATGATTATTATACTTCTATCAGTGGCGGAGCGAAAATTATTTAAATTACGTACAAATCCACCAATTTTTCCCGTGTTAATGTGGACGGCCCCATTTACTTACCAAACCCAATTCATAAGAGAACATACATTATTCATAAATTATAAGCAAGTTTATCATTAAGTTACCTGGGGGTGGGTAAGTTAAATGGTTAATCATGCCGCCACTGATTTATATCTTATTAAATAATATAATATGTAATAATTATTCAAAAATACATAGTATACCTACATATTATAATAATTTTATTAAAATTCTACATTATTAAACTTATAATAAATCCATTGTTTGCTTCTGAATCTGTATAATATGTGTATAAAAATCATTGAGATATGCGTGATAAGTGATAACTATAATCGATGATACCGAACCGACTGCGTACACTGTGAACAAACTTTCTTCCTGTTGGGGGGGGGGGGCTTGAAAATTAGTTACAATTTTATTTTTATTTTGTCCAGTCTAATAATTTCAGACGTTTATTTGAGGTATTTTAAAATGTTTGTAACTCCTCAACTTTTCTGGTAGAAAAAATGCTATGATCATAAGCTTCGATGCCCGATGTATGTTTTTGGAAGCAAATTGGATCTAGTTGGTACTTCTCAAGGGTTGAAATTGAAAATGCTCAGTGCTTTTTAAAATAATTTTAGAAAAGTTGACAGTTGAAACTTGATAAATATATTTTTTTAAAGTAATAATAATACGGGCAATGGGGGGGATTTAGCCCGTTTGCCCCTCTCCCCCTGCATACGCCACTGTAAACACCATTATATATATCGATGGCGTAGCGCACAAGTGTGATAAGTGACATTTTTTTGAAAAATGAGTTAAGTGCATAATCAATTTAATCATACAATTCTGCACATTATGCCCAAACGTTGTAAGTGAATAGTTCATTATTTACTCCGATAGACGTCGTACAGTTCGTTACATTTTTGAATTTGTTATGACATCTCAAACTTAAAAATCGTTCTCCTGAACAATTACGAAAATGTCACTTATCACACTTGTGCGCTACGCCATCGATATAGTATATACTGAGCTGACTACCTAATTAATATGTTATACTATGTAAATATGACGTGGTAATCGTTAATGGTTTGATTGAAATGTGTTGTTACTCGTTTCCGAAATACTTTCTAGAAACCTTTAAAATCTTTCTCAGAAATAATTTTGACGAAAGATATATTTATAAGACTTGACGACTATTGTAATGTCCTATTGTGTGATTTAAAAAAATTGACTTGATCTTAATGTACGATCGACATCGAGATGATGAGGCTTGAAAATTAATCATACATTCCATCCCACAAAACGACCAGAAGAAATACGAAGAGCGGTTGTTTTCTCTCGAAAACGTTTAAAAGATTAAACTAAAATTGTATACGCGTGGCACGAGCCAGAATGCAGGATATATAATATAACTCAAGATCGTAAAATATATATGAATAATATTGTATATAGGTACGTCACGGCGTGCTGGTGTATTTTTATCTTAATGTAAGAAGCGTTTCGCATCGGTGGCTGAAAAAACCGGCCCTCGGCATGAAAACAGATAAAATACGATTGCTTAAATAATTAATAAATAGTTTGAAAAATACCCTTTGCCGGTGTCAAATCCAAATTTGTACGAATCAGGACCGCCGACGCCGTGCAGTTGGAACTCAACCCGTTCGCCGCCACCATCTTCGAATGTTAAGTCACCACCAAACTGTTCGCTGAGCTGAGACTGCACCACCGTGTCACAAGTATGAAAATAAAATACGAAAAGAAATTAGAAAAATATTTCAAGACATTTATCCAAGGTAGGCATGCGATTATAGTATTGGTTATACATTTATAATGTAACAAAAATTATTTGTAAGTATGATATGAAACAAGCTCAAAGTTTGGATTAATAGCCAACAGCGGCAACAGGTATACATATACATAATATATTTAGAATATTTTTATTTTCATAAATATGGTATGTTTATATTTTTCACATCGAACATACGGGAGTACTTATTTCAACATCAGATTTCTACTTAAAGTTCTCACATCACATAAGCCTAATACAATTAGAATTTATAGTAGATTGGGCAAACAAATATTGGAACCAAAAATAAATTTCAGTTATGATATCATTATCTAAAGCATACCTCACCACCCCCCCCCCCCCACACCACATTATATATTATTTTGTTGCTTGGATATGCCACTTCCTACTGTTATACTTGGGAAAGGCTCATTAAAATAATACAAAGGTATAAAAAAACTTGATACGTTGTCACGCAATGTCACAAAAATATAGAACGACAATTTTCATGGACTTCCTGTGTTATCTATTTATTTACTATATTTTGGAAAAAATCAACAATATGTACAGCTATTTTTATTTTACACTATAATGTATTGTATTGAAATATTATAATAGATGTCCGAAGAAACGACAACAAAAATCATACCTTTTAGGAAACACTGCCTAATATAGCGATAGTTACAGGGTGGTAACTTACGGTAAAATGGGTTGTACCTCCTACAGTTATACCATAAATACCGATAGAATACTTCGTGTTTGTTGTTTCGTACTATAGAAGGGATGCACACTATCATTTATTATCATAATAATAATTTGTTTTTTGTTTTTAAAAACTACTGGATATTTCAAATTTTTACCTCCTGAATGCACCAACTAGACTCACCTCCACACCAGAAAATATACTGAAGTTGAAAATCGAAGTATTATTTCGACTTCTTATCGTGTACACAGACACAAATAATAATAAAAAGAAAACACATATTAAGATCAATACATCCACTCAGAATCTAAAAATACACTCAAAATCTTCTATAATGAAGTGCGATAACCCCCGATTTTTAAAAAATATTATGCAGAATATTTTTCTGAGAATCATTATATAGGTACACATATAACAATTTCAACATGTAGTTAGTTGGTTAGTTATAGGTATTTAAAGTCTAAATGAGCTCCGAGTAGTAGATCAAGATTTAGCAGCAGTTTTGTGCCACTCCAGTATACTCATATAATAGTCATATTATTTACTTTAAAATTTTAAATACTTATAGTTATAGTGTTATACTGGTTCGAAATGTTTTGTTTGAATTCTTAGGAAAATATTACTGAATATGAAATTAAAATAGTATACTTTAGATAAAAAAAGAAAAACTAATGCAATTATAAGTATTTCTAACGATTCAATTTGGTAGGAAATATAATTTTTTCCAAAAATGATGTCTACTGTCTAGTAAGTTATAGTTTGTGTATGGTTATCTTATAGTAATTTAAAATTGTGTAAAACAATTGTTTTCAAAGCGTTAATACTTAGGTACCTACATATACATTAATAACATTACAATATTGTGATTAGGTTTGTACTACTACATCACGCCTTTAACGGTGGTCACAATAGTGGCTCACATAATCATATAATATTATACTCAAGCCACGAGGTTATAACGTTTGATTCGTAGCTTAAAAAAATATTTTATATTATATAGGGTGGGGTGTAAATATGTACTTAATGACTGCTACAGTAGTGTGTGCATCAGACACTTAATTGATTGTTAATACTTCGTTGATTTGTATCGACCTATGTATGAATAAATGTATAAAAGTCCATTGAGCGTTATATGATTATATATATATATATACGAAATACCTACCTATACAATATATATAAATATATATCATACGATATAGTAAGTATCCTATCGTGATAGGAGAGCGGAAATCCTATACATTGATTAAAAATTCATAACTTTTAGTGTTTCACGAAACGCGGTACAAGTTTTGTTGAAAAATGTAACGGACTTCCGTAGAAACTGTTATGCATATTGTATACGCTGCGCTGCACGGATAGCTGGCAAAAGAAATATTTAGGGCGGCATATAACATAATAATATTATGTATCATGTATGAATAATAGTTAAAAATATACAAATTCGTATTAAATATTTAAAAAACTATGCACCGATGAAAAATAAAAATAGTACCTACCTACCATCCTTTACATAAATTTACATAATATTGTGTGTGTGTGTGTGTGTGTGTGTGTGTGTGTGTGTGTGGTACATTAAAACAGATTAAAATATATTTTTTTCGGAGTTGATTTAAATTTCTTAACAGTTTAAAGTTTAAACAAAATATTATTATGTATTTAACGTTTGGATCATATTATTTTATACGATGAAACCCTCTCTGATATTATTATACTTTTTTATGGGACTTTCACAGTCCACAAGATTAAGAAATAATTCGTTTTAGGATAAACGATTTAAAATTTCATTTCGAGAATGGCTTCTCCTAAAACCGTTGACAATGAGCAGCCTCATTTAGCAGTGGCCTTTTTTGGGGATTTGCGACGCGCGGGCAGATATAATCCCGGGACTCTCGGGAAAAAAAGTATCTGTACACCACCATTTGACAAACAAATTATACATATTATATAGGTATTGCTTAAAGTATAATGTTTTAAATTGCATACGTAATAAACAAAATTCGTCAATCGGGCGCGTGCCTGCAGGATTTTTAAAAGGGGAGGGGGGTACATTTTAATTAAATCTTTAAATACAACTTGGAAAGAGGGAACAACACATCTAATATATTTTGGAATTATACTGCCGAATAGGAGGTGGTGTTATAACACCCAAAACAACACCCCTAACTACGGTCCTCGCATACATTAGATAAACTAGAAAATTATTCAAAATAAAAAATCATGTTATCTTATATGACCATCCAGCATTCCATTGGGTTATTTTGATAATATATTATCATCTAAAATATTATATTAATTGCTGCTTGGATTTCTACGAATAAAAATATGGTCTACTGCAGCAGCACCTACGCTTTAGGCGGCACTATGTCGTGCGGGCTGGTTACTAATTATTGTCATCGTAGAATTTTGTTCATTAGTGTTTATAATTATTAGGAGGTACCTAATACTGGTCCCTGTACCAGAATAACATAATACAATATAAATATTGTCTCTTATTAATCGTCCTTCGCACCCAACTAGAACTTGTAGAATTATCAAACGCTCGTGGAGCCAAAGTGAATCAATCTTTCATTGCAGTAATAACTAATGCCCACATACGACATATATTATAATAAAATATATGTAGGTGACATCACTTTCTAGAAACTTGTACAACAATACATGAGCAATGTACTATACTCTGACCAGACATATGAGGAAAAAATTATGAATAAATAATATTAAATATTAATATTATAGTCTATACCACGATCCTTCCACCGCCAACCATCTGGTTGAAAACAACGCCCTCCCCACACCGACCAACCCACCAACACGGGATCGACAATAATTATTATTAATATTTGAAGGAAAATATAAAAAACCAGTGTCGTCTGCCAAAAGCGTTATTATACGTTGATAATACACGCACTGCTGCGATTTATGAGTTAACGTTTTGCGCATAATGTCCATGCCGTGTAATGCAGGTTCGTACATAATAAAATATATAACATCTATATAACCAGGATTTTGGCATGGGACTCGTGGGAGTGAATTTTTTCAATAAACGATGCGTTCATAGGCGGAAGCTGATTAAAAGGGGGGGGGGCAGGGGTTGTTGCTCCGGGCATAACTATACTTTTTTTTTAAATTTAAATTAATATAATCTTCTCAGAAGCCACATGACATATTATATTTTCTAAAGTTAATATTATATTTTTATATTTTATAATTTGCAGTTACCATTTGCCATAAAATAATATAGGTTCCTAGGTGGCTAGGTATAAAATATTATCATATCAACCTAAATTCCATAGCCATATTAAACATCGAAAGTGATCAGCTAACCTTCACTATAAATATTGTGATAATATACCAAGTTTTCACAGAATTATTTTATTCACAACCCAGGAAAAAAATGTATAATTGTAATTTTTTTAATATTTAAGTTAATTTTATTATAAAAATTGTTTTTTAAACTAATACATTTTCTTTTGTATGATTGGGCAGTTTTTTTTCGTCTTCTGGCGGAAAATTCATAAATAAGGTCCTGACTTCTACCGATAGGTACATATAGCCGATGGATATATTTATTATTATTATTATTTTTTTTTTTTTAGTTAAGGTTTCGAAATGTGAGGTTGTTAGCCTCAAGGTTATTTTTAGTCGGTTATTACTGTGGGTTAGGACTTAGGGTACGGTTTGGAACACGTATATACGTGGTGAGGATTTGTCATTAAAAACCCGGGTGGTCACCCATCCGGAGGCTAGTGATACCGGCCAATGCTTGACTTAAGAAAATGCTAGTGTTTCTGAGATCAACCATCGTGCCACACCAGGCCACAGAATATATATTTATTATTTAAGAATAATATTATAATTTATAACACACATTGTTGTACATGATAATATTATCATATTTGTTACGATGATTAAAAACTGACGAACAATAACGTGAAGAAAAAAATTAATAAATCGACTGAACCTTTTTTTTTTGTTTGTCGTTCTAAAAAATTGGTCCTTTGATTTTATAATACCTATAAAAAATGTGTGACAGTGTTTTTTTTTATATTTTTAGTATTCTTGGTGTTAGTGTGATTTTTAAATTTTTTCCATCCATAAAATGTTTAATAAATAATAATATAGGTCAATATATTATTATTTCGCATCTCTATAGAATTATTACAGTTTCCAATCTTAGGGAAACCTATTTAGAAAATTCGTTAACAGAAAAAATATACACAGTCATTGTAAGACCAATATCGTCTTCGTTCGCCATTGACCTAATCCAAAACTAAAAGATTTTCTATTTCCTATTTATTTACAAATATATTTTGAGACTCTTTAACAAAGTATACAAACGTCATGTATATACGTGGTTTGAAACATAACATCCTATACATAATACGCCGACTATGACAAATACGAAAAAAGTATAATATTGTTCCTATATATATATAATGCTCCCGAGTGGAGCGAAGGAAAGTTATTTGGTCTTACGAAGTGTTTTTTTTAGTTTACACTTTTACATAGGTACAAATAACTACAAAGCTTACGCTTCAAAAAATATTAAAATTTTAACACAGCAGATTGTCTAACGTTTTGAAAATTGTCATATTTCGAATTTTTCAGTGAGTTTCAAAGGAGAATTGCAATGCGTATAACGTCGAGAAAAAAAACTGTCGAAGAATGCAAGCAAAAATCTGTAAAAGATGTTCTTCACAATCGATTTTCCATTCTGACGATTTGTCACCGATTAGAAAATTAAAGAATTCCAACTCCCTTAAAAAAACCCTTTAAAAAAATCGTATTTTTAAGATTGATATTTTTTATGATATCGACTCAGTTACATTAGGTAATATATTATGTACACACTACCTACACACGCATATAAATATACAATAGATAACTATAGCGTTGCTCATAAATAGTTTATAAATCTAGAAATCGTGAACTAAAAAGAGTGTAATATTAACCAGACGCGTGCGGTGAAGAGAGACTATAATATACCGCGTGGTCGAAGGTATATAATGATATTAAAATAAAAATTATATTATATATTACAACTATATAACGATAAAAAAAAACCTCACCGGTTCGTCTAACGTGTGTTGCAGTTCGTCTTCGGTTTCATCAACAATCGTGCCTTCAGGCAACTGAAACAATAAAGATTTGATATTATATTATATATTGTGCAGTTTATGTACAAACTGCAGCTGGTTAGCGGTTAGTGGTTATTAATATAATATTGCCATACCACGCAGAGCGATATGCCTGACCACAGTCACAGATCGCCGTGTATTGTATGGCGGTACTGTCTTTGTTTTAAAAACGTAAAAAAAAGAAACTCTCTTACAAGCAAATAATAGTGGTTTACTACAACTTCGACTGTCAGTGATAAGGCTTGTTCAAAGTTAAGAGACAACAGTAAATTTTATCGAAAGCCGATTTAATAGAGTTTTTTTTTTTTTAAAGGAGAACATAATAATTTGAATTTTTGGAATAAATACAAAATTAAATTCATTCGGTAGGCAAGCGTGTGTATTCAGTTAAAATTCAATGAAACGTTTTGATTATAATTCAAACAGAGCTGTTTGAGGATAGCTAATATTTTTAATACGTACAATGATATAGGTAATAAAACGAATAAAGTTTACAAAATAGTATATTGTGTGTCAAGGGGGAGAAGTGAGCAATTAAAATTTTTAAATTTCCTTCCCGCACGAGGCACACATACTATTTTTTGTCACGCCTCAGCATCCTCCCCTCCCCTAGCCCCATTGCACATTTCTGCACTGCGCCTCAGCGTTCATCGATCAGTGTCTGGTTGTGCAAGGGATACGCCCTGAACTTTTTGGGGTTTCCACTTTACCACCAGGTACTTTTTGGGATTTCCATTTTACCACCCGGCATTATGGGGATTATCACATTACCACCCAATGGTCAGAAAAAGGTCGCTTTCCAACGCTTCAACCGTCATCGAAAACTAAACTTTCGGTGTAGGCGTGACAAAAAATATATTATAATAATAATAATAATAATATAGTAAACTATAAAATAAAAATGAAATAATAATACATTATACAATATACATAGTACATAATTATTATTTAACATGACGCGTACCTTTTCGCTGGTGTGCACGTTTTGAGATTCCTGTTCCTCGGAGTTGGGTTGTTCGTCGTCGGCCCGTTCGTCGTCCTGCCGAACGACTTGCTTATGTCGTCGTGGCGGCGGTGGTCGCCTGTCACCGTCATCCTCGTCGAGTTCCTCCTCGACCGGGGCCGGCGGTGCAGGGGTGGTGGCTTTTGCTGGTTTCTTCTTCCTCTTCTTTTTGGCCTTTTTTGCCTTAACAGCCGGCCGGGTGGCCGTCTCCTCTTCCTCGCCGTCTTCGATATCATCGACGACGACTGTGGCACCGCTAACGTCACCGTCGTCCGGCCGCCGGCGCCGTGCCGATTCCTGAACCCTGTTTCGATCATCCCTCTCGCGCTGCTTGAGCAGTCTGTTGAACCGGGTCACCAGATCGTACTCGGCTGGTGCCAACAGCTGTCGCTGCGCGGTGGGCGGTGCCTGCAGATTGTACAGGAAAGGCACTTGGGTGTACCGGGTGGCCGGTTGCGCTGCACCGTAAGGAGCGTATCGGTGCTGCATGTGTGCGTGGTGAACGGGATGTGGCTGCAGCAGCCTCTGATGGTGGCGGTGCAGGTGTTGGTGTGTTGGTGGCTGGTAGACCTGATGCATGGTGGTAGCCGGTGTCTGTTTGACCTGATGGTGACGGTAATGGTGGTTAGGCGGTTGCTGGAGGGCTGCGTACTGCTGGTGACCGGACGTAGAGACCAGCGGCGGCGGCGGCGTCTTACCGGTGGCGTGCTGTAGCGCAAACTGGAGGGCCGGAAGGTTGTCCAACAGCGTTCGGTCGTCAGCCTCAGCCGCCAGGTACGGAAGCTGGTACGCCACCGCGGCCGCCGCCGGTTCCGAGTACTTGACGATCCTGGCCACGGGCTGGGCCCTGTGTGGTTTGGGCGGCGCGTACCGGGCCGTGGACGGGTCGTCGTAGGCGGCCGGCTGCAGCTGCAATGGGTTCATCAGTATCGGTCCGACGTCGGGGTGCACCACGGCTGCCGTCTGTTCCCACGGCGGACGGTCGCCGCCTCGTTGATGGTACGGCGCCGCCGCCACGGTTGCGGGTTGCTGCAGCGCATGGCGTTGGTGGTGGTGGAGGTTCTGCTGCTGTTGTTGCTGAATTTGCAGTTGACGGGTGAAGGCGTCGGCGGCGGTTCCGTGTACAAAGGGTGGCGCGTAGTACTGTACGCCGTAATAGTTGTTGGCCCTGGATGACATACTCTTGCTGCTGTCCGCGTACCGTCGGCCACTCGACGCTAAGGTGGCCAGCGCCGCAGTGGTCGTAGTATTCGCCGCAGTCGTTTCGTCGTCGTCCGCTTCGGTCGTCTGCACCGTCATGTCGGTGTCGTTGCGCGGCAGTCTAGAGTACACGATTTTTGGTTCGGCGCCGCTTGCGCACATCAACAACACCTGCGCATACTTTACACGAAGGGCGTCCATAAGATAAAAATATTATAAATACAGTAAGACCTCCCAAGGCCGACTTATATGGTATCACATAGGGTTTATCGGATTAAGAGGGTTAGTCAGAAAACTGAAGGTTTGACCAAAAACAGAAACGACGTATGAATGTATGATTAATGTAAAACTGCATGTATGCATGTACCTTCTCGTATTTGGTAACGTATTACGGTAAAAGCTAAAAATGTATAGTATTATAAAAATGAATGTTTGTTTTATTGAATGAAATCATAAATTAATTTTTTGTTTTTTACTTTGTAAATCATTTTTCACCACCTCAATCAGCAGCTGTTTCAATACCATTTTACATCTTTACGAAATTTTTATCTGCCCATTTTGGACTAGGAGTAAACACACATGCACTTAGGTTTTCTCCGGATCAATCGACATTTAATCTCAACTTTTACATTACTATAATGTATTGTCGTTATGACTTCATTTATTATCGTTTCTATGTATAGTAAAAACTCCTCATAACTGAATCACTAGCTATCAACTCAGTTTTTCACTGAAGGGAAGTTTACGTTATAGGGAGACTAAAATATATGGAATATAGGTTGTACAGGACTGTTGTTAATTTCAGTTATAAGAAGATTTCCGTCTAATAGGACTTAGGAGGTCCGTTATAAAGAGGTTTTACTGTAAATAAAACTTAATATGTATACTCTGTCCAGTGAGAGAATGCGCCAGTTCACATGCAGACTGAGGGCCGAACGATTGCCGAGGTCTCGTTTCCCCATCTCTAGATGTTAGGGAAGTGTTCTTTATTGCTTCGTTTTCTAAACTTATACAGGTGTCTACAGGGTGATTCACGTGTGCATTTCATTATGGCCCACGAAAATCAAATAATTTGTTTGGTTATAATAATATATAGTTGCCATTGGTTACAGAAAAAAACTAAAAAAAATTGTATAGATTAGCCGAACCGCCATGCAATGGTTATAAAACAAATGGTACCTATAGGATTTGAACTAAAAATAATTAATACTTAATTAATAGTACTTGTTATTCAAATGTAGCTTATAAAGACTCAAAAACTATACACTACAAATGCTGACAAAAGTTTCAGAGTTTGTTCTTCCATATATCAAGAAAATTTAGAAAGTAGTTTGAAACACGTTCGAAATATTATATGTGCTACAAGAGGATTGCCCACCCCGGGTGAATTAGTTAACGAAGCGAGGTACAGGAACGCTGTCGAACTGAGGTACACTAAAACCAAGATATGTCGATATATACCTACGCGTAGCATCGCATTTTAGGTGTGGTCATTTTGTCTCTTGTGAAGTCGGGTAATACATAGCTAGTATAGATATTCAAATATAATAGTTACCATCATTATATTTTTAAATATGTTTTATAAGTTCTATAATTAGAACAATAATGATATGCCGTTGACCTGTAGTCGTACTCGAACACGTCATTGATCGTAAATGATCAATCGTCAGAATATTATACTCATATCGCATGAACTATTCAAACTGTTTGACTCAACATTAGTCTCAAATTTCTTAAAGTTTGAGGTTAGTATATCAATGGTTTGTGAACCAATTCACTCATCACTAGGGAATGTAGTATCAATATTATACTTGAAGTATCACGTCTAGGCTGAAAAAATCCAAACTCGATCGGCCTATAGGCTAAAATACAAACGGACAGACCATCATAATAATATTATTAATTTCTAATATTACAATACTAGTCTGCATGAATATAATTGTATGCGATGAAGGTACCTATATAATATGATTTATATATAATAATGGCACTGCAGTTTGGAACCACTGCTGCAGGAATCCGACTGGACTGTGGGCAAACGGCGGACTGCACTATTGAATGGATTTCGCTGGAAATTTAAGGGGGACGATAAATTCTATGTATAACATTATAAGATAATCATATGTATTATCTATATTCATTATACATTTCTACCTACTAATTTATCATCACCAATGTGAACGTCTAAAACATGACTGGAGGGTGAGTGGAAGAGGGCAGTGCCAGAACAACAACAATATAATATTATAATCTATATGTGAGCCATAATAATATTATATATTATCATATCTGTTTTTCTATTACTACATAATTTAGTCGAATATAAATGCACTGTTTCGTTTTCTAAAATTGACCGAAATTCCCGTTGTCTGCACAGTCAAACGTTAAATAATTAAATAGGTAGACTATGTAAAAATCAAAACCACAGATTTAACACAAATTCGATCTAAGAATAAAATAGTATGTAATTATGATGAGATGCATTTCGAGACGTTATATTATACAGTTATTGCAATGGAGGCAAATAGAAAATATACATTTTATAGATATTAGATAATATTTATTGTATTTTCATGGCTTAAATATACACGGTTATTGCAAAAGTACACCCATAAGTCATACATAATTATATCACCTAAAGGAATTAAAATGGCAGCGTAAGGGGACGACGTACTGGCTATACTATGATAGATACTAAGAAATGGACTGTACACCTTACTCTGCCATTTTATTTTTGTTTGATAACAATATAAGCTATGTGCAATAACCTTGTATATTTAAACCATGGGTATTATATACAAATGTAATAACAATTTGTATATTATTGGACCAAATTATACAGAACCGGGCTTCACTTTATTAAAATATACAGCTACAACGTGTTCCAAAAAAATATTATTATTATGGTCACCTTATATGCTCATAGAGTACTGAATCGTCCAATAATAACATTCAACACATAACGCTCGTCCCGTTTTACAGTTATCGTTGTATACATCATAGATGTATTGTATTATATAGGTACATATTATTTTATGTTATTAATTACTGTGCAATTCGAAATATACCTATTACGGTTTGATGTGGATGAAAAAAGTTTTATTAAAACACGAATAATGGGTACATCTGAAACCCGACGACGACGACGATGACGACGGTCCGATAATGATGTACGTGTAACTTATTAAAAATATGATAATAATAATATATTATACAAACATTTTCCAATTTCCAAGCTCAAAATGTTGTAATGTTGTATACTATGCACGACACCACGTCACAATAAAATATTGTGCAGTAATATATTATAATTGATTATTAAAACATGATGGACGCGGTAAAGTGCAAGTCTTGATTTGTTGGATGCATTTGAAAACACTCACGCGATGCAATTTTTAATTTTCGTATTTTTGGCGAATTTAACGTAAAACAATATTATGTTTATTATACATACCTAGTATTATATTATTATGCAACGCATTTCGGTGAAATAATATTTAATATTTAATGTGCGTATTATAAACTGTTTCAATGCAAACATGCTTTTCGATGCGCGATGTTAAACAATTTTCATGTCAAACGAATAATTTACGAATAAATACTATTTGTATAATATGAAATATTCGACTTTGACCTGTCTAACTTGATCGACCGGATGATAAGTTCCGGTCACGGATCTGCAGGGTTTGAACTCTACGGGTACATAATATATTGTAAATACGTCTATTGGTGGCCGCCTACGTTAACCTTTTCAGGTTATCCCATACATATTCTACAACGTCCTCTCCCCCCAAGACCGTATTCACCGACGGTTAAAGTTTAATTAATATTCTCATCGTCCGATATTTTTAACCGCATGTGTAAATGTTGAAATATAATATACAATGCTGTGATAAAATCACTTCTAAAAGATAAGGAAAAAATTAGAATATTTTTACAAATGGTATACTACGACATTTTATACTGTACGAATCGAATTATATACCACGAAAACGGAAAAATTAATATTATTAATTATTTCATTGGAGCATTATTGTTCTATCAATACATATATTGTACCTAATCGAGTTTGGTAAATTCAAAGACGTGTACTTTGCATCAATTAATTAATTTTTTTTTTACTTGTCTTATTCTAATGCAAACCTATATAATAATACCATAAAAATGTTTAATGGTAACGAGTTATAATGTATAAGAGTTAAATCACGACCCGTTCTAGTAAATATAAAATGGACTGCTTTTGCATGAAAGACAAAAGTGGCAAAATAATATATGTAATCCTCGGCTGCATAACTACAGATCCGTCTCAAGAGGGTCCTGGATGCCAGGCAGCGCTCTTTCAAAGTATTAATATTGTATAGAATATAAACAATAAACGTATAAGGTGTGACGCACTACTAAGAAAGTAATAAACATCGAAGAACGCGATTGGTTTGAACATCGAATAACTTGTCATATAGTTTTAAACAATAGGTAATCCAGTGAGTGTAACAAATTCATGAAATCAGGGAGACTTATTCATTAAACGATTTTATATAAGCCATTAACAAGGGGCCCTAGTATTAGCCGAACTATGTGCCAATATCCATTTTATGTATTTTAAGTGTTTAGGTAGAGAACCCTTAAATGTAATAATTATTTTGCATAAGGCAACCAAAATCCTTGATCCGGCACTGCAGAACCATAAACCTACTTATTGATAACCATACTTTCCAAAATTTAAACGTTTATAAGTTATAATGTATAGGAGCACCGATTGATACACCAGCCCCGTTATTGAACTTTTATCGAAGTACACCAAAGGAATAATAGTGTGACGGGTTTTTGAGATTTATGCAAAAATAGCGGATGCATATTATAAAAAACAATTCTTCGAAACTTTTTTTTTCTTTCGGAAATTAGTTTATGGTGGGGTAAGAGATAATGGTTTCCTTTGTATACGGCATACACCAGATATTCAGTTCTTTTTTTTGGGGGGGGCCTAATGTGTGTCAAAAAACCTGTTGCCAAATCCTTTAATCGGCCTATCTCTTTTATTAACTTGCCAGTATACGAGTAGATACACACGACTATTTTTGTACAATAATCCATGTCACGGAATTTATTATAATAATATAATATAATAGATAACGTAATTACAATTGTTTTTATAGGTTCTTCTAAACCCTAGTCACATACTCTATATTAATAATAAACAGTAA